CAGTGATGGCAAAGCCCATAGAACAGAAACTAACTCATTCATACACATTCACACACCGACGCACAGCATCAGCTCTGAATCATGAAAGTATAGATTCAGAGCTTTTAAGCTGTAAAAGAAAAGATATTTCAAATTTGAACACACTATATAACTGGCTGAGAGAGGACCACAAAAGACCATGGACGAAAGACCATGCCTGAATACACTGATTACAATACGCCCCTGATAGAAGTGCATCTTCTGCCTGTGTTTGTATGGGTTTCCTTTGGGTGCTCCAGTTTCCCCCACCATCAAAAACATGTATGTGTCAATTTCTCCCATCAGTGCCTTTGACCAAGGCACTGGCCTACAACTGGAGTTGGTCCCCGGATGCTGCACAGTGGCTGCTGACTGCTCCAAACACTTAGGATGGTGAAATTCAGAGAACAACTTTCCCTACGGGGATCAATAACGGTAATAGATAACTTTACTTAACACAGGACTGAGGTCCCATACTCAGGTCACTGTTGAAAGCCCCAGAAAAAGGTAGTAACTACCCTCAACCTAGCAAGCTCCTAATTCACTAAAAAACTAAAAATGAAGTGATGCAATCAGTAGGATCATTTTACCAAGATTAATCACCACTCTGTAGGCGTAATTAGCAGCCGAATCTTACACTCTACTTCTCAAACGTTCATAATAAGACTAAACCCGACCGGATTACAGATGGCCACAGTAGAACAGAGGGACATAGAGTGGTGATATACGTGGCCTGTCAATGTCAAGCATAACTCCCTACAAATCCAATGAGTGACTGTGAGTGCCCTGTTTTCTGTTTCCAGATGGTTCCTAAACAGTCAATGATTACTCTGCTCTGTTAAAGCAGGAAAGGCCAGGGGCAGGGTCGCTGCTAAAGGGGAATCGACTGCAGCCTCTGTTAATTAATGCCCCTGGATGCTGTGAGAGTTTTTCTTTGGCAACACGCGGTTTTGTCTGCCAATCTCTCACTTCACCACTCTCCACTTTATTCTTTTTCCCTTTCTATATTTTACCATGCACTTGGGGGGGCATGTTATTAATGATGTGTCGTGTTTTTAGACAGCCTGTCCTGTCTGTCCTCATAATCAGCACGTGAAAGTACTTTCTAATTTTAAGATACTGGGGTGGTGGGGTGGTTGCTGCTATACGCACACAAGAGTACACATATATTTTGACAAATTAGGAAAACACTGGATTATTATAGGCAATAGACCACCTGGCAGTGTAAAAATGGTGTAAATTCTGCATAAATTCACCTACAGCCTTGCTCTTACTACTAGACACCGTGTCCCTTTTAATCCACACATTCTGTTGGAATGGTTTTGGACTATTTAAAGTGAGGAAATATGCTATTTTATATAATTTTAGCCAATTATGTTCAGCACCTCCTCTAAACCTTTTGCTGAGGTGAAAGCAAGAAGTCATGTCAGGATACTTGGGTAGAAAACCATATATATGTCTACCCCTTCAAATGAATCCTTTCATATTTCATACTTGAACTGCAACAGAAAAAATGCATCCATGCTTTCCTTTAAAGGAAAAAAAACATATATTTTAAACTATTTGAAAAGATTAGAGTTGACTTTGGCCAACAGGGGGAGCTGCAGCACACAATACCTTTAACTGTTTCCTTTCTGTTCATTCTAAACATATTTGTTCCTGTGGCAGAACAATAGTTATGGCTTCTACCCTGTGATGCTTTGGGTAGACATTTGGTAAGATAAAGTCTGCCAGCACTCTTAATTTATGTGAATAATCTATTTTTTGTAGAGGAGAAGAGGGTAACTGTTATTTTCAACCCTAACTGTGTTAATCATTTCCTTATTAACATACTTAACTGCAGTAGGCTTCAGATTGAAATGGTAATAAATTGTTATGATGAATTTGATTCAGTGTCTCAAATGGTAAATCAATATATGATAGCTGAATGTATAAATGAAGGTAAAATAAGTCCTGGAGTATTCTGGAGTTTTCTCTTTATCATAAATGTGATTATCATTCAGAGAAATTAGAAGTGGATACTGAAATGTCTTTGTCCTCCATCCTTTGTGTTATTTTGTTGGAAGCTCATTTCAGCAGTGTATGTGGGGGCCAGGAGCTGTGTGGGTTGGTTTCATGAAATGACAGAATGTGTGGGACGCCCATAGTGGAGCCAAAATATACACAGCAATAACTTGTCAATGGTCATCACCAGAGCAGCAAGGGAGTCAATACATGTTGTGACAGGCTCTCTAGGACATTTTAAAGAGGCGGGAAAACTAACATTATTTTAACTATACCTGTCAAAAGTTACTGTTCCAATATCACTGGAATCAAGTACATTGTTTAAACAGCATTAACATGCTCTAGTAAAAAGGCAGTCTAGATCTGTTGGACTAACTGTTTTGATATAACTACAGTTCTCTGTAGGTGCTCTTTGATCTGCCTCTTGTTCTATCAACAGGACAAACTGACATTAGGTTAAATAAGAAGGAGCTATGTTATTTAATGTCTTAGAGGCTCACAAAAAAGAACGAGAAACCAAAAAGCAGCAGCTGCTGAGTCATTATCAGTCAAGGGAAATAGCTATGTGTATGGTGACAGAAAAGGGCACTGGGTGAAATTATAATATCTCTTAATTACTAAAGAGGGTCAGAAAGGAGTCATGCACTAATATTAATACTGATATTTAAATTCAAAATAGCCATCATTTATTTCAACTATTAATGTGTTGTATAAGCAGACTAGATAACCGTGTAGTTGTATTTTCCACTGCCAGCAGGGGGCGCTGAACATAAAAATGGCCTAATCAAGCCTTAAAACCAAAATGCAAATACCAACTGACCACTGACATGTTGTTTCTGGATACATTTAAAATTGATATCCTGAAGAGACCATGACATGTTATTACTATAATAGTAAAATAGGCTTACAATTGGCTTTATGTTTACATCATGTCAGGTATTAGAAGGGAAGAGCAGAGTCTGGAGACGCATCCATTTATGTTAAGGTCTGGTGCTGGTACAACAAAAAAATTTAACTTTATTTTTAATCATACCCAGTCTTCTCTCTTCTTTCCTTGCAGTCATTTACAAATTTTAGCTTACCCCTTTTATCTTTCTCATTTTGAGCAGGCACCTCATACATCATCAGTGTAGTGTCTAGCATTAAAGCAGGATTAAATGACTGGTGCATTACCAAGTGCAGACTCTCCAATCAATAAATAAATAATCCTAATAACTCAAATAATAAAAAATGAAAACAAAAATAGGATTCTTTAGGAGTCTCTGTATTTGGAGAATATGAATCACCAGTGTAAGTATTCAGACTGAGCAACATGAAAACGTGTGTCATGCGTGACTACATGAACTGCTATAGAGCCTTGGCAGTTATAGCATAAATATCCTAGCAACCACTTCAGGTGCTATCATGGAGGTCTGATGGAGAACTGGTAGAGCACAGACACAGGCCGAGATATAACAACCATGCTAGAAAAAGACACCTCCCAAAGATCCCCCCACAATGTTGTTGTGGCGTGGGTGAAAAGTAGAATTGAGTCATCTCAGAAGGTAGATTTAGCAACAGAGGAAATAATCTCCCATCTCCCTGCTCCACGGCCTTTAATTCTCAGCAGCAACGAGAAAGTATACTGTAACGGAAGTTTTGTTTTCATGTGTTGGTAACAGTAAAGTGGCCCATCCATGTCATCTCCACAAGATAGCAACTGATTCAGATTTCAACCCGTTATATTTGTAGATAGGAAAAAAAATACTTTAAATCCCTGAAAATCTACTCTACTACTACTCTACAGTTCTTTACACTTTATTGGAAGGTGTTTTTAATGTGTTGTCCACCCCTACTTTACAAAAGGGGGCAAATCATTAAAAGGCACCTGTGAATATAATGCAGTCTAATACACAAATAACAATGGCTTCGGAGTTAAATTAACTTTGCTGTATCAATAAAAATGAACATTGTAAGGTTTAAGAGGTTTTTTTTGCAAAACGAAGGCAAAAGAATGTATGAATTTGTAATGACCTGGCAGGTAAGTGTCTATTTAAAGACACCTCAAACATTTTTCCTGTACACATTATTCACTTTGTCAATTCTCAGTTTACAGCAAACACAGCAACAGTACTTTTCCCTCACGCTATGTTACATTGAAGGTTGAGAAGAATATCAGGTTGTTACAGCAAACAGCGCCACTTGTCTTGGCGTATTAGCTAATTATCTATCCGTGTGTGCTGCCCTGAGGTGTACAATAAGACAGCGAGGGTCAGCAGAGACTGCATGTAGCCTGGTTCCACACCACTGGATTGGTGAACCAATTTCTGTTTTTGTCAGTGTCTAAAAGGCTGGTGTTGTACTTGGTACCACAGCTGGTTCCCGGATTGGAAAAAGAAACAACTTAGCCAGCATGGATGAGTCACAGCTGTACAGGTAGTTTGAATAAAAATGATGTTGATAGCAAAGATATGTCATTCACTTCTGATTGGTTAGGACAGTAAAATCCCCCCTCAATAAAAAAACAGCTAACATATAAACCCAATGAATAATGATTACAAGGCTGTCGTGACAGCTCAAAATAACCGCATAAGTAAACTTTTGAATAGTTGGCCATGTTGTATGTCTACAAACAGAATCAGAGCCACTGTTACCTAAAAGCCCTCAATTCTCTCTCTATCTCCCTTACTTTTCATGTCATCCAGATCGGCGCTGGCCAACATCTGGGCCTCGGCCTCATCGGTGGGCACTTGCTGGTAGACGGCCGTCTCCAGTGCAGTCATACTGCCGATGCAGATTCGCTCTCGCAGGTCATAGTTGCTTCGCTGGGCGCCGGCCAGGCGATGGTGGACGGGCTTCCTACGGAACCAGCCGCGGGTCGTGGTTGAACTGGAGGGATCTGATCCTGGTGGAGCACTGACAGAAAGCAAAGACACAGATTGGTAAGAAAAGTCTTAAAAAAAAAAAAACTCAAACATAGGTTTTTGTCTTCTTGTTCCTGCAGTTGGATGTTTGAGCTTAACTGTGCAGAATGATGCAGAGTTTGACACTAGAAGGATGTTTTCACAATTATCTGCAGAAGTTTAATACATATCTGAAGGGGGTCTTTAAAGATTAGGATTAAAAGCTGCAAAAATGAGCTCCATATTAAGAAATAATGACACACAATGTGTTGAAATGTAGATGTTAAAATAGTTAAACATTTCAGATAAAAGACTTGATTGTTGTTGCTGAAATGCTCTGTGTTTTGCCCTGCATTGCTGTCTCTACACCAGTAGAGGGCTTCACAACACAGCAACAGGCCAGGGTCTCCTCACCAACCCTGAGTCATCCTCTGCTGCGTTCACTCAAACACAGCTACATAATCCTGCATGGCACAGGCATGATGACGTTTCTGTGCTGTTATTCAAGCAGGCATTAGTAGAGACAAACCTGAATCCCCACAGGGCCCCAGCACCAAACTCCATACACACAAAAAAAACCAAATTAATTCATTTTCTGGTAGTTATGTATGTTTGCATAACTGAGTCTCTGCATGAAATTAGAGCTATGTTCTGTTTTGTGCTGCTTAGAAAAGTATCTGATAGTATCTGGTATCTGTTAGTGTTTAACATTTACAATACATTTGATGCAGGGGGTCAGCAAAAGAAAGCTTCTCATCATCTTTAATCCAGCTGTGGAGTGTTCCTCTCGTACCCAATCTTTCTGACTGGCAGGCAGACGGTTGTAAAAGGCAATACACCACAAACATTGTTCCTGTGTGAGTTGAACCAATCTACGGGTAACCAGCCAGACAAGGCATATTAAACTACAGGTAACCATAGCAACCTACTTCTGTGTAATGTATGTGTCATTCTACATGACCAGTAAACACTCCCCGGTGAAACAGACATATGAACTGACCACAAACAAGCTGCATCTTTACTTGTATGTCAATTAACCACAGTAGATTAAAAGACAGAGGAGTTGCTTATAGTGATGAACCCACAGAGAATTCATCACCCAGCTCTGCAGCTCCCATCAGCTCTGCGGAGTCTTTTAGCATCTTCGAGCTGATTGTTTTAGTTTTATGGCCCACAACTTAACTTCATTCCCATTGCTCTAATCAATCAGCCGCAGCAGGCAGTTGTTTACAGCAAGAAAGCCCTGATAAACCTGCTGTACGCTACCTTACCAGCGCCACAGCAGACAGAAGAAGGTTAGAGACTAGCTGGTGAACACAGTGGAGCATTTAGCAGCTACAGAGACCGATATTTGACGGATACAAGGAGTAGCTGGAGACCAAAACAGAGCTAAAAGGAGAATGCTAATGTTGCTCCATGTCTGTCCGTGTTAGCCATACAAATTTCGATGATGATTAAATATCAATGTTGTGTTTTCTTGTTCAGCTGACCAAAAGGATACGATTTACATGTCGTGTAATTCCCATGAAAGTGTCTTGGAGCATAAAGTGGCTAAGGTGAGTCCACCTGTGTTGGCTACAGCGATAGGCCTTTCTCACAGGAGACATTTTGTCTTATGGTGTTACTAACAACATATCAGGTGCTTTAGCCACATGGGGGCCATAGAATAAGTGGTACAAAATGATTATCTTATACAGTTTTTGTGTCAAACGTGAGCAAATAGTTGCCTATTTTTACATCCAACATGTAGCATTTGCATCACTAGCATTCATCTCATGTCATGTCGAGTCATGTTAGCATGTATAATATTCACTCTCCTTTTAGCTGTGTTTTGATTTCCACTAAATCTTAAGGGAAATAATAACTCAATAACTAAATGCTAATGCCATAGAGCTAGATATTGCATAAGCTAGCTGGTATATCTGGCTGCATTCACTAGCTATTTGCTAACTTTCTGCAATTTGGTGCTGGGAATGTAGCATACAGTTGATTTATTGGAGTCTTTTTTATTTATTGCTGAAAAGTGCTGCTGCTAAAACAGGTAAGGTAAGAGCGGTGAGAATGATCCTAAGATTACATTTGCTGGCTGGAAAGCAAAGCATGTAGCTGAAAGTCGCTTAGTAAAGGAAGACTCAGCAGAGGTAAGAAAAACTACAGAGTCAGGTAATAATTCTCTTTGGGCAGCGACACCTTTCACATTACACAGTGTTTAAAGGAAATATTGATAACATAATATTGCAGTGTATACCAGATATCACCATACCTATGTGCCACTACTGGGGTTATAAAACCATTCAGACTGTCTCCAACAGAACAATTGCATGCTGTAACAGCCTACCTGCTGCAAGCGGCTTCCTCTCCATCCATCGCTTCATTCGGGTCAAGAACATCAATTCCCCCATTATGAGTCTCCCCCTTCATCAGAGTGAGTGCGGCTTTCTTCGACAGTGGATGATCTTCGTTTTCCGTGTGGAAGGTAGTGAGTTGGAGGGGTTCCTCCAAGTCCTCTTGGCTCCCCAAACTAAACTGAGAGGAAGAGGAAGATCAGTGAGAAGGGAGGAATATGCTAACATGTGGTTAGTCATTTGTCAAAACCACAAATAGATATGCTGTGGTAATAGTTAGCTATGCACTCCTGCACCAGTTACATGTGTTCATGGGTCATCTCAATAGCAGGGCAGAGCCTGCGTTAATTGTATGAATTGATCTTGCCACCTTTACACAGTAGAGGTCCCATGGTTCCTCAATCTTATTTTACCTGTGGTTGGATGTCAGGTAGCTCTGTGGGTGTGGCAGCCATCCCCTGTCCGTCGGTCTCAGACTCAGCCTCTTCCTCATCTACCTCGTGGATGGTGGGTGTAACATCGGAGGGGGGCAGGGAGGTCTTTTTTTTCTTCCGTTTCTTTTTGCGCCTTCGGTCCAAGCTGTGCACCCTCTTGCGTAAACGCTGGGGCAGGGGCAGGTGGGTGGATAAGGGGTGGTGCGTATGGTGAAATGTGTGTCTGTGGTCTGTGATAAAACAAAACGACATAAGAAGAATAAAATCCAAAGTACATCACGGTATCAGATGCTGAACATGACTGTGCAGATATGAAACTAAACTGATGCTGCAAACGGTCAGTCATGAGCTGTACTCAGTGTGAAAGCAGCATCATTAGGGGAGGTTATTATTATGAGCTAATTCACACATTTCAGCCTGTCTGAAATGCTCCTCAAGCTAGTATCGATTTTTCCCCAAACTGTGCAAAGAACATTTCCAAACTTGGATTTAATCTATGCAATCTGATATATAACATGGAAGCATTTGCGTCACTAAATCCATTCAAACCAAGACTAACAGTAAGCTTGAAATCACATAATTTGTACCACCCTATATATAAAGACATTCTTAAGTTTCCAGCACACACTGCCTAACAAATACAGTATTCTCAGCTGCAAGCCATTGAATATAACATGCAGAGGAAAACATGGTGTTGAAATGGTCTCAGAGGAGATGCTCTCTCTTCTACTAATTCCCTATTAAACACAAACAAAAGCTTTAGATTTTAATTAACATGCAATAAGGGTGAAATGTACTGTTTAATAAACATCAAAAGAAAGCAGCTCTATCTAATCTTAGCCACTGTTATCTCCTACCAGAGCATGTGGTATTCATCTGCTGATCTCTCTATTACTAATCCATCGATACACTTGCAAACATGGAATCTAATGCCCTGCTCTAAATCTGATCTCTTAATATAACACAAGTCAAACTATGACAGACAAGGTCAGAATCTGATTTTACACATGTATTTATACACACATAAAGACATTTATATTTAACTGGATTATGATATGAATGCTAATGTCAGCATCCTAGCACACTCACAGTGACAATGCTAGGATGCTGTTAAAAGATATAATATGGTAATGTTCTGTTAGCATACTAATATTTCCACTAGCTTCACTTCCATTAGCACAAAACACAAAATACAGCTGAGGCTGATGGGAATGTCATTAGTTGCATAGTTACATGTCATTAAGCAAAGCATTGGTCAACATTGTGATGGCACAAAATGAAAAGTGAAGGGATCACCAGAGTTATTAAAAATGTTCCTGAGGGGAACAGAAGTGTCTGTGCCTTTTTGAGTGAATTAGTGGAAACTTTGACCTGCTGGTGAGGCTAAAGGAAAAGTCAGGGGACCACAAAATTCCTTAAGGTATTACTCCACCAAATTTTAGGACAAACCATCCAAAAAGTTTACCAGATACTTCACTAAAAAACCTTCAGGAAATCACCAAAGTCAGTGGGATTCATCCTCTGGGGTCTGTAAAGGGAATGTCTGTACACACTTTTATGGCAGTCCATCTGATAGTTGATAGTTCAGTGAAGACCAAAGTAGTGAACCGACCAACACTGCCATCCACCTGTCAATGACGTCCTATCCCCTTTTGCACATGAGTCAGTGTTGTGGTTGTCTGCCAGAGGCTGTCATAAATTGACGATTCATCCAGTTTTAAACCACCGTTTTATAACTACATATTTTAACCGGATGTCTGGATCCGGAGGTTAACAGAGAAACAAGCTGAGCTAACATTAGCAGCAGCTCGACTCTCACCCCCCCCCTGGATGTCTTTGAAACACTGATTTTTAAAGTGAAACTGCTTTATTCACATTTTTTTTTTTACGGGTTTTAATCACCGGGTCTGCTTGTTTTATGATAGGAGTAGACTTTCCTGAACGATGAACACTGAAGGAATCCTGACTTAATTACATATCGTAGGTTTAAATACAAACAAGTTTAAAGATAAGGAACACATTGAAACTAGTCAATATAATGATAATTATACAACAACTTAACAACAATTTAATGGAAACGAATGCATTCTTACTCTGAGGGGCTTGCGTTCTGACAATAATGTAGATCAATACTCTACTGGATTACAAAACGGGTTGTAAGTGACACACATATATAATGTGTACATGGGACTTTCACTGTACATGGTAGCTTAGCTTACATTCAAAGTCTTTCTCAGTGTAGTGTCGGCCCATCCTGTCTCCACTGGTAGAAGCAGAGTCGCTGATGATGTCTCCAAAGCGCTCCACAGATAGTGCTTTCTCCCAGTTCTCCTCCTCCTCTTCTTCCTCCTGTTCCTCTACTGATCCTTCCTCATCCTCCTCCTCCACCTTCACCTGGAAAAGGACAACGTTAGTGCAAGAAGCAAAAGGTAAAAGTGAAGTATATTAAGGAGAGAGCATCGAAGCAAGAATAAAAATCAGAATATATGGGATGTCCTGTCAAAATTATAGTTTAGGATTACTGACAGTAATTACTGGAGAGAGCTTCCGGGTCTGTAAAGTGAAGCTAATGCGGAAGTGTCTAAACCTGCATTCTTTCTAATAGCTAATGGCTCCATAGGCTGCAAAAAAGAAGCCAGACAGTATTGAGTCTCATGGGAAATGAACATAATTCTCACTTGATTTATTACCTCAGTAAATAGTTTCCTAATGACTTTATCATCTCAAGCGTTAGTTTTAAGTCTTCTTCAAAACAACATGAAGGCCCCATTTAGATTGAAATAGACAATAAAGCCAGGTATGCTTTAGGACGTGGCTACCTTGTGATTGACAATTCATTCTCAGAGTCCGTCCAGCTCAACACAACAAACTCAGATCAAACTATGCAGTGTCGATCAAATAAGAATCAAGATTATGTTACTGCATTGCCTATTTCTCACCTAAAATCTCTGTAATCACACAATTCACTGGATGACGTCACGATAGGTTCACACTTGTTTAGGATGAATCATATTGACTGTGATGAATAAGGGCATTTGAGGTCACCTGCTGATTGCATGATGATTATAGGAATTGTGCTACTCTGATTGCTGTATTTGTACTAGCAAAGAGGGTAATGCAATCAGACATTATTTTAGAATAACACAGCTTGGCTCTGACATCAGAAAAGACAGTCACAAAGGGAGCAGGTTCGTACTAAATGAAAGTGAAATCCTAATCCAGGATGAACATACAAGTACAACGTGGGGGAGTTCCATCACCAGTTATACAGTATGTACTGTGAAACAAACTGGTAACAAGAACTTTAAAAAAATAAATAAATAAATAAATCTTCTGCCAGCACAGCTTTTCACTGTCTGCCCTAATTTAAGCCACAAACCACCACAGTGGGCCCCAAACTGTGTATTTTGTTTTGTATTTATCATGAGAAACCTCACATAATTCAGTTTCAGTATAATAGGCACATAGTGTCTGTACATCCTCCACTTCACGTATGGAGGACATCAAATCAATACAACAAAGTGCTAAGCAGCAAAGAACTAATGTACTAGACAGCCCCTGGAGACAGCGGAGGCTGAAGGGAGTGTCCTGCCAGAGCCATTTGGTGCCTCTGATAGGTCAAATCACTGGGACTGGCCTCTTCCTCTGCCTCAGATTGGTGCTGGCACGGTAAGCACTCTGGCTACTGTTCTGTGGTCTCAGATTTCTCTGTGCCAAGGCTCCATTACTTCCTAATTACCAGTGGGATGAAGGGACAGGATACGTTTAATGATCCAAGCTACCTATCTACACAAGGCTGAGGCAGATGAAGCCAGACCGAATATAAAAGGAGAATTTTAAATTGAGTGACCAGTAAAAGCCTTGTTTTCACTGGATGAGCAGCTCAAGTTTGTTCATTACCTAAGGTGCTTTATATTCCTGCGAACCAATTCTGGTTTAATTTCAACCTCTCCTCTAACACCCTCCCCTCCTTGACTTGCTCGGGTAAGCACTGTTTATCAGTGTAAGACCCTGAATTTAATAGCCCTAATGTAGTGCAAGGGGGAATAATACTCACAGCTGAGGCAGATATTACAGTAAAGGGACTCTTTCTAAACCTGTTTTTTTCTTTGCTCGAGCTCCATTGCTGCAAATGACTCAAAACTCTTTCATGTCAGCTTTGAAGTCAGTCAGGGTGGAGGGACACAGGAGGAGGGCAACCCCGGCCCAGGTGGTGGAGGCACTATGTGAACAGGATTTGGATGACAGACAATGGAGTACAGTGATTTCATATCAGGACATTTTGCGAACAGTAGACTGTAATAGAAATCAGAGATATTACAATTGAGTAAATAAAACAAGTTAAAGTCACAGAGAAAGGGAAGTGAGAGGGTCTTTAGCTGCTATAGAGCGCCATATTCCAGAGGGAATCGTAACATGTGGGCGCAGACATAAGGAGAGGATTTAAATCAAATCTTTACAATTTGATTGGATCACTCAGAAGTGGGTATGGCTTAATTATGAGTTATGGAGTTGAAGGTGACTGTTGACCTCCATATACACCTCCCTCACTTGCACTGTTTCATCAGGAAGAGGAGGATAAGGACCACAATTAGTGCATAATCATGCTCTTTTAGAAATGTGAACAGAGTTTTTGCCAACTGACATCCAAACACTATGATTTTGCTCTGTTAGTGACCCACTAGCAGACGGTCAAGTGCTGTTTTACATGATGGGTGTTTTAGTAGCTCCAAATCACATTCGATTGGATAAATGTAGGTGTACGTACGGTTTGAAAACCTGATGAATGCATTTTCTTCCTCACCTGACATTGGAAAGCCAATTTATTAAAATATGTAGAAACTGGTATTGTTTACATCCCTGCTGGCTGGCACATTGCTATCTCGGTTAGGCAGGTTGGCAGGAATGTGGATCAAGTAACCATGTATTTTGAGTGTAAAGTTAAGTGTAAATTGAATGTGTTTGGGTTTTGGACTATTGGTTGGATTGGATGATGTCACCTTGGACTCTGATGGCAAAGTGTGATGTAGCATTTTCTGAAAAACAGTCAACAGAGTGATCCTTTGACATGTGCAAACCCACTGCAGCACAAAGGGTTCATTTAATCCATTTTCAGTCAGCTGTGTTGCCAACATGGAGATGGAAATCTCCTAATATTAATATTGTTATAATGAATGCAGGGTAAGAGCCCTCATCTCATCCCTGCTACTGTGAGTGTTAGCACTGTGGGTTACCATCTACATCAAACACAATGATATTTGATGCATGAAAATTCAACCACTTTGTGGCTGCTTTGGCCACTTCTGATCAATTATGAGGAGGGGGCTTCCATTAATACAGCCTTATGATCTGAGCCATGCCTCTGTTCAGTTCAAAACATGTTGTCTAACCTTTTCTGTTCAACTGCCCAACTTCTACTGCAACATTAATATTTCATATTTAATGGAATGCTGAGCCAGAGAGATGCATTCAAATATTTATCAGCTGCTGACTAATATGGAGGAGGGTGTGTGTGTGTGTCTGTGTTATGTGTTTGCCTTGTTCTTCTGGATCAAATGCCCTCACATAAGTGATGAGGGCATAGTTGGGTTATTTCTGTCCAAGACATTAGGTGTAAAGCTAAAGGTGGGTTAAGATTACTGTTATTAGGACTAATATCAAGTTAAGGGATTATAAATAGGCTCAAGCTTCAAGCAACCAGCAATTAAAACGATGTGGTTAATGATAGAGTAAGGATCTAGTAATATTTATAATAACAAGAAAAATGCTCAGTAAAACAGAGAAGTGTCAGTGATGGTTCCTACCTAAAGGATGGTATTATTTTTCCCATTAGTTGAATGTTAAAGCTACATTATATAAATACGCTCTCTACACTGTATAATATGATGTTTTCCTTAATTTCCTCAGGTGAAAGTCTCTTTTTCAAGAGAAATTTGGCCAATAAACAACACAAAACCATTGTTAATACAATAAATACAATACACACTACACTGTCAGACACCACAAAAGAGCATAACTCAAACTGAGGGCATATGCACGTATCTAAGTTGCCAAAACGTTAAAGCACCAACCAGCAGTGCAAATCCTTTCACTTACACAGAGTAACAACCTTTGAAAAATGTTGTGTGCTTCTCTACATTGTACCAAGTGAAAGGGGCAGCGTGTTTTAAAGCTTTTAGCAGCTGAAGAGACAGATATTTCCCTCAGGAGTCGGTGGAGACCAAAACAGAGTGTTGGTCTTACCAAGTGAATCCGGATGCCATCAGTTGTTATTGGGACAGCTGAATGCCAAGCTGCCATGATGACTGAATGTACGATCTGTAATATCTTTAGAGCTGTCCTAAGTGCTGATGCTTTCACTACGTATGTCACTGTATGTTTGTTGCTCTTCAGGCCGATAGAAATACAGTTGAGTACATAGTACTCGGGAGTCAATTTTACTGTGAACCATATTCTTTACTGATAATCTCACTTATAAAAATTCAGGCTGATATAAATAAGCAATGAGTTTGTTTTCCTCTGCAGATCACCCTGTTTCCGGTTGCTTCCTGCTCTTTTTTTATTTAACAGTGTTTAAAAAACGCTTCCCACTCCCTTCATCCCTTCATCTAGGCCTCTTTGATTGACGGTGTTGGCACGCTTCCCAGACAAACAAATCACAACTACCATAAATATCAGCATCAGTGTTTTGCTTTCCTTTTCACTGTGCAGCTGATGTTTATGAGCAATTATTTAAAAAAAAATGTTTGCCTTGTTACTGAATGTGATGAAATGAAATGAAAGATAACCAAATTTTCCTTAAACATGCACAAAAAACATCTAACAAACAATTATTTCTGTTCCTTCTAATCTGCCAATATCCAGAAGCAGCAGCAGCAGCAATAATGAGCAGCCAGATTCTGGAACTTTTAATGTGATCATTTTTTTTTTAGCAATTAGGCCATTTTGTCTTATTAGGCCTTTTTTCTCATAGCTTTTTCCTGGCATAAAATGTGAAATATTGAAGTAGAAGAGTGAGAAGGTATTAAATGGATCTCTAACATATACAGTAGATAATTAAACGATAATTTGAAATATGTTTGGAATAGAAACTGCTACTTACGAAAGAATAACATTTAACAGAGAATTCAGCAAAACCAATAAGAAATAACCATAATTTTTCAGTATTCAACCCTTCAATATACAGTTTTCACAATTTTCACCCTTTAGCATTAGGGTTCTTAGAATCGTATTCCAGTTTGTCTGACAGCATTGTATATATTCTGTATCAGCTCACTTAAATTCTTCATTGAAGCTTTGTGACGTTGACACTTAATATCTGAGCATGTTTTTTACAGCTGCATTGAACGGAAATATTCTAAATTCCCCAACATGTTCATAACAATGTTTGGCTGCATAACAGGAGTTTCTAACAACTGGCCCACAACTGGCTCAGTCAGGTTTAAGAGGCTTAAACCTGCAGCCATTTTTCATGAAACCTTTGATGAGGGTTTACTACGGTCGGAGTTGTGACTGAAAAAGTATTATTTTCAGAAAATATCTTCACCATTTCGACAACACATAGACAGCAGTTGAAAACAACAATGCTGCAAATACATAAAACACAACTGAAGACAGAAAGACTGCATTTCTCGATGCATTTACCATCACCTGTAGATGAGTGGAATAATATGCATCCACTGGCAGGAATGTGTTTTTGTCACTTTTGTGCATGCATTGTGTAAAAAAACACTGATCCATGGCACTACTAGTGGTCAAGAACTCCATCTTAAGAAAAACATCATCTTAAGACATGCATGCGATGACCAAAACCACCAAGTTGGTCATAGCTCAGCACCGCATCAACAGCTATAGGAGGATTGTGTAAAGAAAACCATCTTGTCTCCTGGTTTGCACTTGACTGACTGTTAATCTGTTACTCTGTTACTGGTACTGACCTGAGCAAAATTAATTTTCCTTTGGGGACAATAAAGAACATCTAATCTATAGAAGCTGTTATATCTCTCTATAGATGCTTTAGGTGTGTGTGTGTGTAATTTAAGTAGAGTGCACAAATAATTGAGGGTAGGAAATTGAGGGGTCCACTTGTGTAGCCAAGCATTCAGCCTATTATTTCCTTCAAATCAATGTCACAATATGCTACGCACACTGTGGATGACATGGTCCCCACTGTGCATAATAACACATCACCTACTTAGTTGGCAGAGCTAGTTCTCCCTGAGAACAGAGCCTAATCTGTTTCACTTGAATAACAGCTAGAAAACATTCTGCTATTACGAACATGAGCATTTTCCACTGACCGGTGTGTGACTCATCCCTGTTTTGAGACGTTGGAGGAAACAATTCAGCGCTTCTTTTATTCCAGATACTCATTATGTTGCTGTGTGAGGGAACACTATTTCTTGAAGTCTTGGCCCCTGGTCATACCAACATTTAAAACAGCAACTTTTTATGGCAAAATCAATACAATGTAATGGAATACTGACAGCAACACGCTTCTAGAACTACATATTTATCAAAAAAGCATGCATAGTTTCTGCTGTGACATTTGCTGGAAAATGCTAGAAATGCCAGACATATTCTAGCCACTTATGAAACTGTTATTCAGTTTCTGGGAAAACCAGTGAATATTTGTAAAAACTTTGCAAGGACCAGTGTGTAGAATTTAGTGACATCTAGCAGTGAGGTTGCAGATTGCAGCTAACTGAACACAGCTCGCTTCTGTATTTGACAACCTGAGAATGAGAACAGGCTGTAAAGTGAAGTGTGTGGGAGAAGCTACTTATAAAAAATGCAAAAGGCCCTATCTAAAGCTAGCGTTTGGTTTGTACATTCTGGGCTACTGTAGAAACATGGTGGCTCAACATGGCGTACGAAAGGTAGCAAAAACACAAAAAACTACATTCAGTTGATTATACACTGATGAAAACATGCCTATGGATATTATAATTCGTTTCTGCCAATAGATCCTCCTAAATATTACACACTGGACCTCTAATTTATACTGTCAATAAATGTCAAACTAATGTTAAAACATCATGCACAGCGTACTTGATTTGAAAATGTCTTTTTCACGGTATTGCAACAATATCAAAAGTGCCATTTGAAAAAGGGTAATACCGGCCCGAGGGTTAAAAACAGTTACAGCCAAATGCTTCTCTTTTAGAATACCAGATCCGGCTGAGAAAATAGACAATTTGGGAAACAGAAAATACCACATGCAACATACATTGCTCACTGGCCTTTAATAAAGAAGCTATTTGGCAACAGATTGGTGTGAAAATGTAAAATGGGTGTTAGAGATTTTGCAGCTAAGAATTTTCATTTTTCATCAGTGTCCCCTGTCTCCTACTAAACCCACTGTAGCTCTAAAGAACTATTTTACTGGCTCACTGGGCATGACTCCATTGTACAAGCTGACATAGTAACATCTCCTACACACTCATGGTCCAGATTTTTCCCTTCAGATATTTGGCATAATACTTTTTCTCCTGCAAAGTCAAACCCTCCTCCACTTCTCAGCAGTCCACATTTGCATATCCATTTTCCATCCTTGAGACGACAGTCACTTTCCAAAAATAATTATTATCCCTCCTTCACTTCCCTTACTTTTATATCCCACAATGCAAACCAGCCCTGCCATTTGAAAAGGCAAAATCATATTATTTTTCTTGTATTCAGTGGTTTGCATACTGCAAATGGCCTCGCGGGATGGATTCAGCCCAAACCACACAAAAGTCCTGTTTACTGTTATAACCAAGACGGCATAACCATAATTTTCTATTTTTCTTGATTTTTATACTCTTTAAGGAATAGTTTGACATTTGGAAAATCACATATTTGCTTTATAGCCAAAAGTAAGAAGAGAACACCAATAGCACTCTTAGATATGTGTGTGTTAGGTATCAATCCTGGTTCTTTCCAAAGTTACAAACATATGCTTACCGGAACCTCTAAAGTTGACCAACTGACACGTTATTGTACCACAATGGAAAAAGGACAGTTTGTGGTTTTAGAGTTAGTTACTGTAGGTGCTGCATCTATTTCTTGACAGGCAGCAGACTCTGGGAAGACACTGCAACCTGCCACTGTTAAAGTTGCAGCGCTTAACTCTGAGTAAAAGCACAAAACCAACAAAAACAAATCAGACACATGAAGCTCAGCACAAGTTCAATCACAAAGACTATCTCTATGCCTCATTTATTCACAATGCCTTCTCTCACTCTCACAGTCCATCTTAATCAGCTGGGCAGTTTACTCTTTCAGTTAAATCAATCAGACTGTGCTGCGATCTCCGGCCAATCACGTTTTTGCTGTCCAACGTTAAATCTGTTCTCCTCTCTGCTGCTTTCAGCTGTCATTTCAGTGAAAATTCATTGCGAACCCCCTCCACCCCATTCTCCTGCAGTTCATCATATCTAGTTTTCAGGTTGAGCCCATCACAAGTCCACTTCTTATCACATCACATCCAAATCTTCAGCACTCTCTTCATCCCTTCATCATCACCACCAGAGTCTAGACTCCATCAGGGGGTTCCTCGTACTAATCACGGCTTCACCAACCCCTTCAAAATGAATACTCTCCTGATTAAAATAGTGTTCATTAGTAATCTTAGGAGCAGTTGGTAGGTATTTTTGTTTGTTGTTCCCAGTCTGAATGCTAAACTAAGATAATCACCTCCTGGCTCTAAATCTATATTTAACACACAGACATGGCATGGATCTCTATCACCTAGCAAGAAAGTGAACAAATGCATTACCCAAAGTGTTGGATTGTTCTTTTAAATATGTGCATGTTCACTGGTTTTGTGAATTTGACAGGAATACACAACTAAACAAGAAAAAAACACTCACATTTAGTGTATTTCTCAGTACACTTTCTACAGAAAATCCATGGATGGAATCAACAAGACCAAATCAACCATAATAAACGCAAAACTGAGAGTACAACTGTAGGAGCCCACGTCACCTTGCAACTTGCCACAGGGACTCTGCCACTGTTCTTAGTCACTCAGTTGCTCGGGAGAGCTCTGGGGTCTAATTAGAGCAATTCAAATCAAACTGAAAGCTGTTGGATGTGTCACAAAGTTATGCCATTCAAAGCACTGGGCTGCATGGCAGAACTGAGTAGCTCTGGATTAACCAACAGCGTGTGGTTTGTCTTTGCTTAAAAAACGAAGGTTCAAGAAATTCTGACATGAGAGCTCCACAAGACAACTTCACATGTTGATGTTTCCAAATGGGGTGAAGGAATAAGACTTTTTTACCAAAGTAATGTACAGATTTATTTAAAGCCTCTTACCTGTCGTAGGTTGATCAACACATCTATCTCTGGGGCATGACCTCCTGTAGCCATGGGGCCTGGCGTGCAGCCAGTGGGTGAAGAATAGCTCTATGACGAGGGCAAGGGTCTGCAGAAACAACGGCTAGTGTGGCTGGAACAACACTAAACAGAGATTCTGGCTATGGAGTTGCTGTGGGGAAGGATTTGTGGGGGAAAGGTGCAACTGGACGAACAGTCCTAGAGGTAAAGGGTGACAGGGGTGGCTGCGTCAGGTGTGGGAGTCGGGTGGGGTTAGAGCAGTTGGGAAAGGGAAATAAGCAGGAGAGGGAAGGAGGGAAAGATGAGGTTCAGAGAAGCAGGAAGCTGGGGGAAGACGGGGATCAGCCTTTCTCTTTCACGGTTGGGGATCCAGGAAGCCTTTGGGGTGGCATAACCTGCAGGAGAGTGGACGGGAGAAACAAAGTTACAATCTGATATGAGGAATATTGAGCAATTGTTGGGCAGAAACCAATCGCACATACAGTAATGTACTGAAAACACTGAAAAGGATCATTGCAAGAAACATACACCCACATTTTGAAATGAATAAAAAAGTAAATAATTAGGTTTACATAAAATGCTTTGCATATTTTGATTACATTTTTGAAATTTTGGCAAAATAAAACATGAATCAACGCATTTCCTCTATGTGTGTGGTTATATACTTAATCAAGCACCTAATCCTGATAGCATGGCATTTCACTGCTGCTTCCCACCCAAATGATGGTATGATTTAAAAATAATGTTTTAAAAATTAATCTTTTATGATCCACATGTTCCCTGTGGTGTTTTTAGAAGCTGCCATGGTGACAGAGAGGGTGTAGTTCCCCGTCTGGACTCAAAAATAAAGGAAGGGTGTGGTCACACACCCTTCCTTTATTTTTGAAGGCGTTTTACTTTTGGGATCTCAGTGGAGTAATGGTGAACATTACACATTGATCTGCATTAACACTTATTTTGCCACATTGCATTCTCAAAAGTATTACTTTTTTTTTAGAATATGTGACATTTCATCCAATTCCACAATGCCTCTACTGTCACTCTCCAATATAAAATGACATAAAACATATTATTTGTAAAGAATATTTCCTGGTTGTCCACAGTGACAATCTCTGCCTTTTCTCTGGTAACATGGTGATAATTAAACATGTCCATTATTAATATTTTAAGTTGCTGGTATGCAGATGTTGTAACTATTTCCCCATGTTTACAATCTTACCTAAGCTAACTGGCAGTAGCTTCATATTTAACATACAGACATGGGAGTGGTATTTCATCTAACTTTATTATTTTTTGTATGTATTTGCATGTATTTTCTCACCATGTGCAAAGTTAGTATTGGGAAAGTAATAGCTCTTTCTTGTTCTTAGTTAGAAAATTATTTGTGTATTGGTCATGTAGTAAACAAAACCAGAGTCAAGACTATCTTGGGAAACAGCCATCTTAAACTTACCACCTAGAGCTGTCTTTATAAAGACCTGATATTTACTAACCCTGTCAGCAGTCTGGAGATGCCCATCATAAATTAATTACATTTTTTTTCTGGCTGGTAACACCAAGCCTTGGAAAACTCCCCATGAGCTTCTCTATGTCATAATCTGTGTTGTATAACTGTGTCATAAATACCAATTTATACATTGTCCCAGTTTAAAGCAGCATTATTAGATTTTTGGGTCACTTGCGTGTGGCGGCACAAGCTGTGAACGGAGGACATATTATCGCCTTCTAAAGTTGTTCAGGCAAGCATTTTAGCAAACAGCTGCTTACATACAGAGCAGTCGCAGAGCAACATGAGCGTTCATTTAGAGTCGTGTCTCTGTCCACCTGGCTAAGTGACAGATCCCACATAGTGATGTGGTGGGGGGGTCAGGAGTAGGTGAGGAATGCCAACAGACACAAAAAAGGAAAACAAAACCTATTGAATGAGGGGGCTTCAATACAAATAATGAGGGTGACTCAAAACAGGCAGGGTGCCACCACATAATCAACCACATATTTCATTGGCAAATGTTTAATTTATTTATGTCCACCTTTCTTTCAGCTCTATTTTGGTCTCCACCAACTCCTGAGAGAAATATCCTTCTCTTTAGCTGTTAAATGCTTCACTATGTTTACCAGCTAGTTGCTAACTTAGTCTGTCTGCTGTTTGGTAGTGATCAGGTAGTGTATAGTGGGTTTATCTGAGCTGTTCTCTGCAGCTGACTGCTACAGGGAAGCAAGGTTCATGAGAGTCTTGAGAGTGAACCCTAATAGAGAAGAAAAACAAAATTATGCGGGTAACTGTGGAGCTGGGTAAAAATTATCTGTGCGTTTATAACATAAACATAAAACTTGACCCCTTTGACATTAGGCACACTCAACATGGCCCATTGTTAATATAGAAATATACACTAAACTGTTTTAACTGGATAATTGAGTGAAGATTTTAAGTATTTTGGATAGCAATATACTCGTATCAGATTTACTTATTGTAAAGATGTATAAGTTGTTACTGGTGGTGTGCTGAAGATAAAATGATCAGTCTAATTTGAAAATCACTGTTGCAAGCACGCACATAAACAAACAAGAGAAGGCACCTTGGGAACGCTCAATTATCCCGATGATGCCAAAATAGACACCACTGATTATTTTGGTTTTTAACGAGGAAAACAGGTGCCTCTCATCCATGCAAACATGCCAAGGATTGTTGCTCTGTAATTATTCTGGGCAGTGTAGGAGAGGGCGATCCAAACAATTGCCATTTACCATAGCCATTTACTCCGGTAAAGATCTAGTCACTTCGTCTTCAGAATTCTAGTCAATTTGCAGTGTTTCCATTCGACATAAGGCACTGAATAGGGAATACCAAAATGTGTTGCTCCTGTGTCAAATGTGCTCTGAAGAGCAGGGATTACTCTGCCTTTGTACTGTTCATTTTGTTGTATTGTTCCATTAATTGTATCACTTGTGGTTAAGTGATCGCTGACAAGCATACAGCGAGGAGCAGTGATATTTGATGAATCAAGTGTGTCTAAGGTTCAGTGTTTTGTGGAGGCTTTAACAAGGATTACTGAGTTAGAACAGTGCGTGCAGCGAGGATACAAAACAAACCAAAAACAACATTAGCATACATCATGTGAATATTAGATACTGTGGACAAAAAGAAGTCATGGGAACTGAGTGGATATAGCCGATAATTCCCAAGTGACCCACCCTGTTTGGAGCTGCTGTTTTCCCACTGTCAGAATAAGAGGCTCTACATCTGCCTCAGTTTTATTCAGCTGACTCATTCGCTCCCTCTGAGACATTTACAGCTGGCTCATAGCTCACATTATGCACAAGGCGCTGCACAAATAAAAGTGCGCTGTTGATATGAGCATGAAGAACCGTTTGGGGGTTTTCTCTTGAGCACAATAAGTGCACAATATGGCACTATTATGCTGTGCTGCTCTCAGGTGAAGTCTTTCAATTCAATTGATTACAAAAACTAGGTTTTGACCCTTGTTGCTTTATCTTGTTTAAAATCCAGCTAATCAAAGTCAATTGATTAAGTCAGAAGAAAGCAAAGTGTTTTATCATCTTTCAGTCCATTAATGCATGAAAAAATTAAGCATTTGTAGTTTTGAAGTGCAGAATTATCCCACTAGCTTAATGGATAATACATCTTACAAAGCAAATGATCTTTGCATTGACAGCTCAATAAACAGCCTGCACATGTAGGCAACTCCCACCACCTCACACCTTCTCAGTACATACAGTAGTATTTGTGCTCCGAACGCGCTATGGAGAAATATATCCCCCATTGTACACACGTTCCTTCCTACCTTCCATTGTGTCTGAAGAGCTAGTGTGTCATCCTGATTGGCCACCAGTGGAGTGTGTAGTCACCTTGACCAAAGCTGACCCAGCTCCTGCCAAGCCCACCGCCACCTAACTCCCCGCTACAGTAATATCAAGTGTCCCACCCCCTTCATACCAGCTGGGTAATCAGAGAGCTCTGAATGGCTCGCCCTTTGAATGTGTGAAGGGGACGCTGACATACATAAGTGACAGACATTGATAGTGTTGTGGTGGTGGTGTGTGTGGGTCTGTGTGTGTGT